GGGCAGCCTGTCGGAGCTGCGAAAGCACGGAAAGCACCGGAGTGGAGGGGGGGAGCCGGGGTTTGGCGGCCTCGTCGTGTGCGCCCGACGACGGCGGGAAAGGGCGATCCCGCGTGGGGGGATCGCCCGCGTGGCACCCCGGCGCGTGTACCTCGGCGAGGTCGTGAAGTTCGATCCCATAATGGTTCTGCACGAGGTGGATGCTGAACACGAGATACATGAGCAATTCGTCTGAAAGCCCACGCTCTACTCCAGGGATGGCATCCCACAGAGCATTTAGAAACAACGCGTTTAAGGTCAGAATGGGTTCCCGGAAGCAGGACGGCTTCTCTTGGGGCTCCCCGCTACCTTGTCCAATGGAGCCATCACTAAGCCAAGAATAAGGCATTTTGAAATTTTTTTTTTGGTTGGGCCCGTATTGCTGAAACATCGCGGCAGCAATCGCATGGACGCGAGTAATATGGTGCGTGTACTCAACCAAAGAGACCCCGTCTGAAGTCGCTGCTTCCGTGGTGCTGGTGGTGTGAGGAGTCCATAGGGCACGTTTGGATTGACTAGTCGAATTGACATCACGTGGATATTGATCAATCCCGGACACATAATGATCGTACTCTAGCTCCACAAAGCTTTGCAATAGAATATTCATGAGGTTATTTGACCCCCTTTGCTGTTCCGTATCACCATCTATGCTAGCTTGAGCCCCTTTATGAGTGGTATTCATATTGCCATTCAGTGTGCTACTCGTGTTGTCAGTAGTAGAAAAAAGGCATTCTCGAAGGAGGATTCCTGCTATAAAATGGCTCTGCTTGCTTGAGCGTAGATTCTGTTTGAATCGATGCACACCTTCGATCCACTCAACCGCCTTACGTTGTGCCTCAGGAGAAGTCGAACCCTCTTCTACATTTTGCTTCAGCGCTTCATTAAAGTCATTTTGATACATAGCGGAGACCAGTTCATTAATATCCGAGAATGAGATTAAACCTAGGTACCATGCATCCAGTTTAGCTGAGAGCGGCAGCTGTGAAATCTGGTCTTTCAGGATGCCCTTAAGTGTTTGCTCGATAATATACAAACGTGATTTAATAATCGAAACCAACGGATTAACGAACTGCAACGCGTTTGTGCTCTCTGGGGCCACGGCATCTTTTGTAGAAGGAAATCTTGTGGATCCACGATTGGGTTCAATGTCAAACTGTTTTTGTGATGCATACTGACGCTGAATTTGTCGAATAATATTAGCTTCCAAGTCTGTAAAGAAGTTTCCAAATATGGGCTTCGATAAAGTGAATCCAAATTGCATACTTGATGCGCTCATATAACGCAGAATAATGGATAGTTCATGAGGATTGAATTGATGGAACAAATTCATTTCTATACCCTCTTGATCAGCTGGAGTTTCGCTTGTAGGATTCATTTCATCCGAAAAAGTCACTCCCTCACTACAACTACCCTCATCGAGGTCTTTTTTTTTGATATATTTGCCGAATAAATTCCATAACTGACGATAAAGAGCATAATGGCTTATCTTGAGCGGGGTCAGACCGATATCATCTTCATTTAATGCTATGTGCCAGTTAATCAGAAGAGAATCTGACACATGTTCCAATTGCGCCTTACAAAGCTCCAGTGATTCACACTTGAGTACCCATTCCTTGACCTTGTTTCCAAGCTCAATGGTAAACACGAAGGTGTCGAAAATACGATTAAGATGGGAGTAGGTAGCCGCAGTGTTGGGATCCTGGTCGGCAAGCAAAGCATGGACCGCTCCCACATCCTCTGATGAAATAGGCCAACCATTCAAAAAAGGTCTTGTGTATTGGGTTGAATCATCGTCAGGTTCAATTGGTTTCAAAATCATCCGATTCGTGGCCGCAGTGAACTCCAGACAAAGTGTCTTGGCCCACTCCCCGCACTCTTCCTCAGAAAATGTGCTTGCCATGGGCAGGGAAGTTTGTGCGCTCACAAGCGCTGTCACCCTCTCGCCTTTCCGCTGGGCCAGCAGCAGAAAGCCACCAAAGTACCCCAACCGCAGTAAATACTCCAGGTCTTTGCGCCTGGCGTCTCTAACCTTAGCCTTGTCCACGCCAGAAAGTGGTACATGTTGGGTCCCGTTTTCGCTTTCCTCAGTGGGGCCCTCAGACCACTTTCCCGGTTCGCTGAAATGGGGTTTCCGCGGGAATAACTCCCGTAGGGCACTTATCAAGCGACACCAGAGAATGTTCTGGAGCCATTCATCGCGAAGGCAATTTAATAGCGGGTAGATCAGACCCCACGCGGTCTGTCGACTTTTGGCATAGGCAGCAGCCGTACCACTCCCCTCATCCCCCGCCACGGCGTTAGCAGAGGCAAAGCTGTCGTGGCATGAGGTCGCCACCGCCCCCATCACCGACTTCCATAGGATGTTAATGCCTTTAGCGGGAAAAAGAGGCCAGGGCTTTTCGGACGGAAGAAGGGTCTGGAGGATCTGTCGGGTCAGCATGTACGGCTGCGTGGATTGCACGAAAAGATTCGCTTGGAAGTTGTGGAGCCGCACAGATGCAGGGTCGAGTTCGTTGGATTCTCCTAAGGGGTGCGCCTGGGGTTGTGAGGATAACATAATCCACTCATGCCGACGCAAAACGTTTTCATAAAAATGTACCGATATAAAGTGGTCAATGTCCGAAACATACACAAATAGTGTACTGACTGAGTCGAGAAGCGCAGAAGAGACACCCTCGCGGCGTTTGGACGCAATGCGCGGATTGACTTCGGCATTCTTCGGACTCAGGTTACCACTTGGGTTGGCCAAGCCGAAATCATGACTGTTAAACAGCAAGTAGAGAAGCTCATAGGTCAATCGCTGTTTGGCTTCGGAGCTATAGAAAATGATTGCGACTTCCCTGAGTTGTTGCGCACGATTTGCATGCAAGTTATCCTCCCCACTGGAGTCCACCTTTGGGAAGCTTGATTCATCCTCTAAGTTCACCACCGCCTTGAGGTTTGAGGGTAGCCTCAATGCGTGCCGTAGAGCCGCAGAGTTCAAATCAAGCACATGAGGAGAGCACATGATGCGCAGATACTGCACATACAAGAAATAACTCGCTTTTGTGAAAGGAGCAACAAAAACTTCGGAATCTTCACCAGAAAAGAAGTGTTGTCGGTCGCTACACGATTGGTCGGGCGTTGTATTTTTCGAAGAAAGAAATGTCTGTGAGTGCGCAGAAGCATTGATCCATGACTGAGTCTCCCATAACGTGTACCACAGCGCCATAGGTTGGCTGATGTCCTGCGCAAACCATGGGTACGTTCCAATGCGAAAAAATGACCCACGTTGGTTCGCATCCGATAAAAATGGCCATTGCAGAAGCATATAGCGAAATAAAAGAGAAAAGAGCAAATCGATCACATGAAAACGGTAGGTGGGGATTCTATCGTTTAGTGCTACGTAATCGCACCTGCTACTCTGCACCCTCTCTTCTTCTCCTTCAGTTTGTTCATCCAAAGTTAAGAAAAGAGGGTTGGTGTGAGAAAAAGAAGGCTGTGGTAAAATATCGACTTTTTGAATCTTGTCCAACACTGCCTGCGCGTGTTTCTTCAGTTGTTGAAGTAAATTTGGACGCTCTTCGACTCTGTCAAAGAAATGGTTATCACTGTCTTGAGCTCTTTGAGAAGTTTGTACCGTCTTTCCCTTATCGAGGGCATGCAGCTTGAGTAAAGTTGCCTGTATGGCCTTGATATGGAACGCCAATAAATCACTCCTTTCAGAGGTCCATTTACATGGATCATCATGACTACTAGCATTGCTATGCATCGCATTCAAGTCTTTGGTCCTGCACGATAACAGAACATCCTCGTCCTTCTTCCATTTAAAAAAGGCCAGAGTCCGCAGCAGATCAAAGATGTCACTAATCTTTTCTGGACCAACAGGTTCCCTTTTTAGTGCCTCCTCTCCTGAAAAACTCGCAGTTGAGGCCTCTGTCGTCGCGGTCGACTCATCGGTGGATATTGTAGGCGATGAACGAAAAGATTCCAACTTGAAACATTCCTCGAAATGATGTTTTAAATTCCTTGGATTCTTCTTAAACCAGTGTTGTTCCCATCTTTGCTGTGGTATTAAAGAAGGTAAATCCATTTCACGAGTACCACCCTCACCTCTCAATTGCATTGTTGATGTGGACACTGCATAAAAAAGTTCACTGAAATGGATCTCTGGCAAAGTGATTGGACTACAGAGCCATTGAATCGTTTGAACGGGAAGTTGTACAGAGAGTGTAAAGGAAGATATGTTGTCTGAAACTACTTCCAGGAGAACTTCATCCTCTCCTGATAGAGGACATAATCCATTTCTGTTATTTATATCGCCACTTTGGTCAATGTTCATATTTTCGTCAGGCTCGTTCAGGACGAACCCAGTACACAATCGCTTCAAGAGATTTGATTCACTCAACGCCTTGATACATTGTGAACAAAACGAGTCGTATGCAGCCTTGTTACCCTGAAAGAGATAGCTTTTCCTAAAAGCATTATGTTTGCGAAAGAGCTTCCACAATTCTAAACACCCTTCTGTTTTTGGAGGCTTCTTTACTGATATGGCACCCTTAGTTTGGTGTTGCTTTTTATTTTGAAGAAATTGCTCTCTATCAAAGTGTTGGTGTGTTGTGTCCTGCCTTGACGCATGGAATGAAGACTTCGTCTTTTCAACGGCTCCATGTGAAGAACGGTAGCTTCCTCGTGGTTTGCGCGATGATGTCAGGGATGCATTGTTTGTAGTTCTATTGTGCGATGCCGAATGGCTAGAACTGCTGTTGCCCTGACTAATCACATCCCCTTTATTAGAATCTGAAATGGATAATGTAGTAGAAGTACCAGAAGCAGCTGCAGTAGTGGATTTAGTAAATCGAGAAGAGAATGAGGTCACTATGCGCTTCTTTCTCCTGGTTGATATTGTCTTGCTCGAATAGAGGCACTTGCTTTGGAGTGTACCTGACGTACAACCGATAGGACACGCGAAATGAGCAGGAGAAAAACACAGGGAGTTAACCCCCCGTATTGTGCCTATAAAACGTCTGGAAACTATCGTCGCTGGCGATCCCATCCGCGCTGCTGAACCACCAATGTACGACAAACTGAGGGTTGTGGTAAAGGCGGCAATCCGACACGGGTGAGGCCTGGAACGTCGGAATGATCCAGATGCTGAAAGTGGTATTAAGTTAGTTAATAAACCGCAGCTCATTCAGAAGAATCAATGGATTTAATTAGATATGCTAATTTGGAAAATCTAGTCACGGAAGAATTCACGCTTATGAAGCGTCCTATGATACCAATTTAATTTAGGTTGAAGTGATTATTAGTGTGTATGTAAATATTAATATTTTACAAAAATAATACTAATAATCAATATTATGGCTTTTTGAGTTAGGTCGTTTCCTACTCTATATTAACCTTTTTTCTTACAAAAATATCACACAAATTCTGTTTAGTAAAAAAAAAAGGATAAGTAGGAGAGATAATTAGTGAAAGAAATACTCGGTAATCATACTTTCGGTATTATCTTTATATTAATAATGAAAAAACATTAAAAGAAAGGAATAGGTTAAAAAAGAAGACCAAAAAGTGTGGATAGAGTTTCTTGTGAAGATTCTAATTTTCTCTGCAACACCATAGCCCTAAGTCTGAAATCGACATATTTAAAAATACTATCTAAAAAAAGACCATAGAGAGGAAAAATAAAAATCTTATACCAGATTCCTTTTGCTCTGAGTTAAATATCTCCCCAGTTTGCTTCTGCACTGTTTGTATCTGACTTTATATTATCCTCGCAGGATACTTTATCAACTTTCTCAAGCCTTCACAGGTCCATCTTTTCCATTTTCCCAATACTTGGCAAAGTACGACCAAGTGTTAAGCAGCAACGCGACAGCCTTTCCCTCCGCAGTATTAACTTGGTGTTCTGTCAGTGCGTTAAGTGCAGTCCATGCATCCAGCTCAATTTGCTTTTTATCGATACCAGCACCTCCATTTTGGTGCTGCTTTTTCATGCTGTTAACGTAAATTGCTACATCCAAGGCGGTCTTATTAGTCTCATCAATGTTATTGGCCGACTCCTCTGACTGGAATAAAGATGAGGGAGAGGGCGTAGCGACGGTAAGATTTTCCTCCGGTGTCTGTACATTGGTGTAGGATATTCGACTCAGGGAGTAATAGTGGTGGCATTGAGTTGGGGACACGGTTTGCAGCATAGCACCTACGCACCTGTGGCTTCTCCCTAATAAACCCAGTGTACATGAAATACGTTTAAGCATGTTGAAACTGAAAGGTATTAGTCTCGCACGATAAAATAAAAATAAAAATAAGCTCAAAGTACTTTCAAAAAGATAATACTATATTATTCTTAATCAAACGCCCTTTTACTTAGTGATGCCGGAAAACACAAAATAAGATAAAAACTATGATTTTTTAGGAAACGCCTTAATCATATAAAAATAGGGGGATTATATATATATATAATGCCATCTTTACAAAATTTCGGTATTTTTCCCTGCTGTTAGCTCGCGTGTACTCATGAGAAAGGAAGTCCCAACGTTCTGAAAAAGGTCTGAAAATATGAATCAAAACACACCTTTTCTAACAACAAATTCTGAATAAATCGTACTCATTTACTCACTAAATACTTTTTATTGCAACACTTTCCGTCTCAGTTTTAACAAGAGATGTTAGATCCTCACTGTTTTGTCTTCTTCATCACACCCTATTCCCCTCTACTTCAGAATTGATTTAATTATTTGGCAGTCTATGGATAAAGGAAAAAGAAAGATGTTGTAATAATAATAATAAAGGAAAAATACGCTTTCAAAGCATAATATTTATTCACCTCAACGGACTCACCCATTGCTTTAGTCTCAGAGATATGCATTAATGCATTTAATCAAATTGTCACATTCAGACTTCAGGCCCACCGCCAGACGTTGTCGGATTTCCTCAGTAACCCCTGCAATCGGCATAAACTCGCTAATTCGCACGACGCTCATTCGGAGCCGGTCCGAGTCCTCCCCGGACATCCCGTTGGCGAAGCTCTCATCCTTCACACGCAGTCGCATCAAAACAGGGCGGTTGATCCGGTTCTGCGTGAGCCGCGCCACAAACATCGGGTCCTTCTCCGCCTGCGCCTTGAACTCCGGCGCGGTCATCCCAAAGAACTCCACCCCGGCCTCGTTAAACAGCGTGAGCCACTCCTGTGAGACGTTGTCGCTGGCGTGGATGGAGATGAGGTAGCGCTGCGTGGGCTCCACCAACGCGTCGCACTTCTCGCAGCGGAAGTGCTGTCTTTGGGTATCTTGGGGGGTGACCTTTTTATTGCACGTCGGGCACGCGTCGTACCAGTGGGTGTCCTGCTTCATGTAGATGGGAACACAGCGAACGTCGACGTAGTCCGGCTTGGCCCCGCGGCCGAGGGACTCGAGCCGGATCTCCGAAAAGTACTTCCGCCCGCGGTTGCTTTCGTCGGTGCCGCCACCCGCACCCGGACCGCGCCCAGGCGTGGAGAGCGAGGGCACATCCGTCCCGCCCGAGGAGTTATACCACATCGCGAGCTTCTTGGCATCCGCGATGTCCACCATGTTGGCGTCGATTTGGGTCTGGAAGGTGGTGGACAGCGTGATGCCATCAAAACTTCCCACTTTAAGGTGGCGAAGTGCGATAACGGTGCCGACCTCCTGCGCCCACGTCTTGGCCTCGTCCCCCCAAAGGGTTACCTCCACCGAGGCTGTCATGTCGGCAAGCTTCACGTTGCGTTTGACAAGCGCACGCCCGGTCGACCTCTGTATGATTGAAGAAAGATCCCCATTATTTAAGACTACACCTAGTATATCAACGACAGATCCGACCTCGCGCTGCTTAAGAAGCTCAATCGGTACGAAATAGTACCGCACCAAGGGCAGCGTCATAGAAGAGCCATCACGAGCCAGAATAATCTCGGAGTTAGTGTCGAAAGTAAGCTCATAGTCGTTGTTCACGTTGCTGAACCGTCGATTGGCGTTTTTGACCTGCCCACCGCTAAAGTAGTACACATTACCGTTCTCGACAAGTGAGTTAAATGTGTCCACCGCGTCATTGAATATCGTTGCACGAATAGATGAGGATTCATCAAGAATGGTAAAGGAGAACAATTTGCCTTGAGAGGTGGGTTTGTTCCAGGTTCTGATATCGGACTTATCGGCCACCCGAGCGCGAATCCACCACTTCCCGCCGAGAAAAGGCGTGAGGGAATCAATGGGCTGAATCTGGCGTCTTACAGATTGTTGCATGGTTATTATGCTCTGTCGATATATTTCCTTAGCTTATATAACAATAAACACTTTGGAATTTTGATAAACTTTATGATGATCCTTTAGATATATAAAAAATAATATAAATGACCACTTTGTAAATGAAGCAAGAGAATCAATCAAAGGGAAACAGATTCACCGATTGTTGTCATGAAAGGCAGTCCGAAATATACCAATACAGAATGGAATGTATAATATACGGTTCCAATTTAAACAGTTAATCATCCGACGAGTAGCCATAACAGTTGAATGAAATAGGATACTTCAAATACCACTCTAATGCAAGATTTACACAGGCCGCCCGCCTGGTTAAAAGAGACAATGACTTGCTTATAAATCTCATAAACAAGCCTTCAGTTCGCACCTGACCAACCAGAACCATACCTCAGGAGGAAGAGGAATCGTCCGAGCTACTACTCTCGGTCTCGTCCGCGTCCCTTTTCTGGTCGTTGGCAAAAAGAGTGAGCAGATCTTCGGTTCTCAGCCGGTGCACATCCCACCCCTGTGCGGCGACCGAAGCGGTACCACTCCTTTCTTCCGATCCGGGCTGAAAACAATACCCGCTGAGGGCACGCTTTTGCTGGCAAAGACGTTCGATCTTCTCCTCGACAGTCCCCCGCGCGAGGAGCTTCGTCATGGTGACAGGGCGCGTCTGCCCGATGCGGTGGACGCGGTGGAGGGCCTGCTCCTCCAACCCCGGACTCCACAGCGGCTCCATCATAAAGCAGTGGTTCGCGCAGGTGAGGTTGAGGCCGACGCTGCTGGAGGAGAAAGTTGTCAGTAGTACCCGCGGTGACCCACCAATCACCCCTCGGGAGCGTGATTGAGACTTGTTCTCAGTCAAATCCTTTTGATTCCCCCGAGCGTGCGGTGGCGAATTTTCCCCACTGAAGCACTTGAGCACTTTGTCCTTGTCCCTAAAGGTCAATTCACCGGTGTAGAGGATGTTTGAAATGCCCTTCTTGTTCAGGCAGTGTTGAAGATACCTCAAATAGGTCACAAAAGTGCTGAAGACGATCGCCTTCTCGCCTAGCGGGATTCGGCCGAGGGCGTTTATTAACCATTGTGTCTTTGTGCTCAATGATATTGGCCAGTTTGTGTGGTCACCTAGGTCAACGCCCTCTAATGAGTCGAAAAGAGATCCGGCCACACTCGTCTTGTGTGGACAGTCTCCCGCGCTATTATTTGAAATGAATTCGAGTGGGACTAGAGATATTTGTGAATTTTTTGTCGGTCGTTTGCACATAGGGCAGGTACGATTGAGCTGTAAAGCGTGCTCAATACACTCCGAACAAAATGTGTGACCACAAGGAAGAATCGCCGGACGGTTCACACGGTCGAAACAAATAATACACTCCCGCTTATCTAGTTCGTGTCTCTTGAGCTCTTCAACTAGTTCCTGGAAGAAAGTGCTATCCTTAACCACGACACGGTTGCGAAGCACGGTATCGATATAATGTTGGATGGCATGGGAGATTTTATCATTATCATCCCTCGTCTTACGCGCACTGCTGTCAGCACCCTCAGATCCCTTTGAAGCCTGGTTCGTGTTATTCCCTAGCTTGCTACAGTGCCGAAGTGCAGCTACCACGATGTACGGATGCAGGAGAGCCTGACGACAACGAATAATCATCTCGAAAGCGGTGTTGAAAGTGGTCAGTTGGTTTCCGCTGCCGGTGCTTCCCATAGCCTGACGCTTGGATGCTATGTCAAGTTTACGATTCGCATTGGCATAGATCGTATCATAAAACTTCTTTTCCTCTTTAGAAACGTCCACGAGTTCGGTTTTAATGTGTTTGGGAGGTAGCTCCAAAATGCGGTAACCGCCCACGATAGAGTCTGGAGTCCGTCTCAGCAACAGAGAACTAAACAAAATGCGCAAAGCCGTCGTTGGGCGTGGATGATTGATATCCATGTTGAAGTGCCGAACAATCTCCTCATTCCACCACAGCTGTTCCCCAAAATAAGGCACACCGAGGAACTTAAGGAGCGGGAAAAGGTCATTTAAGCTGTTGTAGACGGGCGTAGCGGTTATTACCCACTTGCAGACTCCGCTGAGCCGAAGGCAGGCACGCGTCTGCTGAGCCCGTAAACTACGGATCACGTGCGCCTCATCCAACACGATGCGCTGCCAATGGATCATGTACAACCTCCCCGGCGGCGCGCTTTTCGAGGACGACTCATGCCTCAATGTCTGGTAGCTTGTGAGGACGTAGTCGTACTTCTGCGCGAGTTCGAAAAGCGAGAGGTGCCGGCGGCGGTTAGTGCCGTGGTAGAGCATCACACTCGGCGCGGGCCCCACGCAGCGGTGGAGCTCCGACAACCACACGTGAAGGAGGGCAGATGGACACACCACCAACGTCGCCACGGACTCCACTTGACTCCCGGTTATGCGATCCACGTGGGGGCGACGGGTGGCCTCGCACAGCGCGATCATCGTGCGGGTCTTGCCCAGCCCCATGTAGTCCGCAAAAATACCTCCCCGAACCGACTTGGCGGCCTGCCAAGTCGCCTCCTCCGCGGGATTCAGAGGCGAAGATGCCCCTCTCGAGAGCGCGCGGTCGCCCAACGCCGTTGATGCGTAATTCGGGGAGTAAACCCCACCCGGGGATCCGAATCGAGCTCTACGGGGGTCGGAATACCGGTCAGAGAGGCAGTTCGGCAGAGGGATGGGGCTTTCCTGGTGCTGAAGCCAGTGGAGAGCCTGAAGCTGAAATGGCCGAAGCTCGGCACCGACCATGGTGGGAGGGACCGCGGCGCAGGGCAGCCTATCGTACGGCACGGACTCCAATGTCTGGAGGAAGTGCACCAGCTCTCGGTAGTTCGCCGCATCGGTAGTTTTCCGATCCCCAGTACCATTACGTGAGCTACTACTATCACTATCCTCATCTTCACTCTCATCAGAGCTGATTTCCGCAATCGAGGAATTGAGAGAAATTTCGCCCCCGATCCCTTGGGAATCCACCGCCTCCCTGGGGCTCGACGACAGCGCTGTCAAGCTCAGGGCCGGATCGGAGCTGAGGACTGTCGTTTTGGGATGTGGGGATGCGTTCATCGAGGATGCCGGACGGCCGAGCAAAGGCACCTGAAGCGATGGCAATGTGGAGGAGGCCGACGCCGGCACTGCGGAAAAAGGCGAAAAGACGGGCATGGCTTGATCACACATCTCGCAGACCCAGGCCTGGGCCGTCGCGCTCGGCCTGCGGTTGATGAAGGTGCAGAACGGGCAGGTGGCCTCCGCGCGGGCGGCCGCGGGGGTCGGCT